TGGCGCAAACTAACGCGTGGTCGAATTCGAGGGGGGTGCTCCAGTACAGTCCGCAGTCTTCTATACAACCCCACCATTTGTAGCTTATAGCGATGTGGTCGATCTGTATCCGTATCTGACTCGAGGAAGGCGGACGCCAAGTGGCGTACCGGCAGTTGGAGCGTCTGAAGTTCGTACTGGCGAGGAATAGGCGGTGGTTGGAACAAAGAGCCAACAACCTTTCCCCATTTTCCGAGCGACAGGAATCTAGTCCGAAAAGATCACCCAGATGCGCCTCACTCGAAGTCAGTTAATCTACTCTAGCGTTCATGTCTCCTGCTAAAATCACGATATCAGCCTGACTCGCTTTACGTAAGAGGTCGTGTAGGCTATGATAAAATTCATCTTTGACTGCATCTGGGCTGCAGTCCGTTGGAGCGTACGCCGACACGACAAACAGGTTTCGTCTATCGGGGCGATGGCTGTTTACTTTGCACGAACCTCCAAGTCTCACTGCGCACAACCTACTGTCGACTGGGATCCAGTCCAGAAGCGCGGCTTCAGCTCTCTCACTGTGAGCCACACCAACGCCAGCAAGACCGGAAGCCGCAGCCTCAGGGTCCCCAAAGAGGCGTAAGTGAAACTTCACTGATGGGTTTGATGGGGACTTCAATCGGATAATGGAGCTGGAGTCTTGAATGCGAGTCTCTTGGATACAACACACATCGATAGTTAGGGTCTCGAGCGTACGAGCTAAACCGGCCTGTTGTTCTATTCGCATCAGAGTGCGCACATTAGATATGGCTAGTTTGAAAGGACACCGAGAGCGAAGAAGGGCTTCAGCTGGTGGAGGAATCGGTGAGACTTGGACGGTAGTCTAGATAGGACAAGGGGGAACAGCGGCAGTTTCCATCTGAGACAGTAGTGTTTGCATGGTCGTCTGAGAAACCCGAGAGAAGAGGTGAGTTGAGAGGGTGAGGGTAGGATTGGGTAGGGCTGGGGGACATGAGTGTGTGTACGGTGTAGAATGTTTATCTGTATGTGTAGAAATGGCAGTCTGAATCCACATAACAGTCAAAGAGTTCATGGTTGCTGGCGTTGTGGGCTATTGTACTACTCGGTCGCCCGGTCCAGGGTAGGCTATTACACTGGATACCGTTACTAACCGCTCAATCACAACCACTGGCACCACACGTGTCAGGATACTGTACCATGGTTGTTTTAGTAACAATGAATAAAGATCACATATCGTACGAGAAAGGCACTATATAGAAAAAAACACCTCAAGTTGCAAAAACCCCTGGAAAAAATACTCAAGCCTGCGTTAAAACGGGACCAAAAATTCCCCAAAAGTAAAACTGGCCGACCAGTTGGGTCGACTGTACGATACACTGACTGAGAAAAAGCTTATGAAATATCTGCTGATATTTCACCCTTAACTATATGACACTTTGAAGGTGTGGCCCTTTTGAGGTCACAAAACGAAACGAATAGTGAAAGTGGATATTTCACTATATGTCGTTTGAAATTTTTATTGATATTTCACAATTAGCTGAGTAAAAATACTTTCGATCATGAGCACTTTAAAAATTCAAACCGGGCGCTAACGTATCCGCGATTGTTGCGGAGAGTATGTCACCCAGGGTATTCAATGCGACGGATGTGAAGTGTGGTACCACCAGCGACGCTCTCAAATGAGCAAAACAGCGTGTCAATTCCACATGGAGCACAGGTCCTTTAAGTGTGTGTGTAACCACTGCGCAACACTACCCGAGGAGTTCAAGAGAATTCTGAAGGCGTCAGTGGCTCTCTAGAATAAGGAAAACAAAGGAACACCGATAGGGGTTACTTCTGCGTCATCCCCAAATAAAAGTACACCGATAAGAGAAATAGGAAACCGAAACAGGGTGATTGAACCACAGACCATGAGGCCTTTAAAAGCTAAAAAGACTGGTTAAGCCTGAGGTTTAGCCTAACTACCGGGAAATGGTACAACGGATTAAGCAATTGGAGAGAGAACTTAACTTGCTGAAAAAAGCAACGAACTTTCGTTAGGAAGGAATAAGAATTTGCTCCTGCATAATTGTGCGGAGCCAGTTATAAACATGGTGAAACCGAGGCGAGAAGCTGAACATTGCTATGTGCAAAACATTTTTAGGCTAGCAGGGTTACCCCTGAACACCCCACACACCAAGTGTCACATAATTGGCCTGTGGAAACGGGACAGCTCACCTGGTCCAAGACCTCTCTAAGTGGTGTTTCCAAACACAAATATAAGAGATCTACTACTATCACGAGCTTCAAGGTTCAAGGATCTTACTCGGGGCGTATAATAGTCACCCCCGATAGACCTATCAGGGTGATGCACCCAGTTAGAAGGGGAAGTAATGTAAGCATTCATCACACCAAAGACGTGGTACTTCGGGTACCAAGGACTGGAGAGCCTTTGAGCAAATCCACCCCGAAAGTACCAAAGAATGTTCCAACCAAACGATATGTAGGAAAGGGCCTACAGAAGAAGTCTAAAGAAGGCGACGTTGCTGTCCGCAAGGTCAGACCTAACCCGCCACGAACACATGACAAAGCCCCGCAACTAAGGAACGTACTAGCAGCTGGCAGTGCAGAGATGGAAGCCACGGTGAGCTGTGCTGAACCCCTATGGACATAAGGACAATAACCCAGGAGGAGCCCCTGGGGAGTCCTGCGACTAACGCTAGAAAGCAGACACCAGACCAGCGGTTAAATTAGGGAGGCGATATGGCAAAAATCAAACAAACTGGCCAGAGCGGCGCAGGACATAAACTGGGTACCCAACTCGGCCGATGCATCTCTGGAAACCAGATGGAGCCATATCAAGGCAGGACTTACCTTACTCACGGACAGGTTTGCGCCTTTGGTTCCGTTAAGAAAGAGGCAACGTCCTTCTTAGTGGAAGGCAAATATAGATAGGGCTATAACCATTCGTACAAGACGATGGGTAGTCTATAAATTGTATGGCCCCCATCAGTCGTGGAATGGTTACAAACAAGCGCGCAACTATGCGCAGAAAGTACAAAGAGAGGCTAAATACCAATTCGAGAGAAACTTGGTGCAAAACGTCAAGGGAAATCCCAAGTGTTTTTACGCATATGTCCAATCTAAACAAAACACTCAGGAAACGGTTGGTACTCTAGAATCGTCGACCGGAGAATTAGCAGTGAGTGAAGGCGATAGAGCACCTATCCTGTTACAGTTCTTCAAAAGCACGTACGGGATCCCCAAGGTGACAAATAACCTTCCATCAGTCGGAAGTAACAGCACCATGCCTCCAATCACTGTGAAAATTCAGGATGTGCAGCGGGAGTTGATCGGGCTCAATAGGTTCAAGGAGGCGGGACTTGATGGAATTCACCCAGCCATTGTAAAACCGCTGGCTGACGTCATAGTGGGACCGATTTTCGACTTATTTAGAGTCGCTTAGACTGGAAACTGTCCCGATCGACTGGCACAAAGCCACAGTAGTGGCAATACACAAATCTGGATCCCGGCAAAAAGCTGAGAATTACAGACCGGTAAGTTTGACATCAGTAATATGTAAGTGCTTGGAGCGCCTAGTTAGAAGACAAATATGCCACTACATGGTTAATAGCGGGCTATTGGTATCAGCGCAGCACGGATTTGTTGAAAAGAGATCTTGTCTGGCAAACCTGCTGGTATTTCTAGACGACATCTCACGGAGAATAGATGAGGGTTGCCGGTAGAGGTATGTTATCTGGACTTCCAGAAAGCATTCGACTCGGTCAGCCACCATCTGTTATTGTATTGTATTGTATTTGTAACTTGTGTAAGCATATATGCTTACATTTCAATGAAAAATGTACATTGTTCGTCACGCAAAATGAAATAAAAATAATCAAAAAAAGGTAAAGAAGGTCGGTGATATACGTATCATGTACAAAGTATTTGACGTAGTTCATTTGAGACCTGTTCCTTTTTGGTGAGTAGTCGGGCCAGGTAGGGTACAGGGGAATTTTTATAAATGTTAATGCGAGAAGGTAGCTGTCGAAATGAGGAGCGTGTGGACGGATGGGAACGACAAGACGATAGATCAAGGTGTAGTGGATGAAGAGGGTCATCTAGAATCTTGTGAGCAAATTTAAAACAAGGGTTGATGTGACTATCAATGGGATCTGTGATTAATGAATCAATTGGGATTAGTGATGACCGACTGATTATCACCAAACCGCGGCGAATTGTTTTGAATTCGTGTTTTAAAAGACCGGGAAACACTACAGGAGAGCAATAAAGTAGAATGGGTAAAACGCATTGATGAACGAAAGATGA